ACTCTTGGTGTGAGATTGTCCACCGTCAACAATTGACTTGATAGAAGGCTAATGCTCTCATGAGGTTACCATTTCGTTAACTACAATGGCCTGTAATTATGAGATTCCAAAATTACAGAAGTCAAGGCGACAGTTGCTAGGATAATCATGTACTGCGACTGCACAACCGCCCAAAAATAAGCCCTGAGTAGGTATTGTGCAACAGCCAGTTGGTCGGACGCACGGAAGTTGACCCGTATTTTCCTATCCATGTGATTGGTTGATGCGAGATCCAAGGTCACTGATTCGACCAATCAGCGAACTCTCTAATGCCGACTGGGGCTTAAAGTCGTACGATGCGAGGTGCGCATCTGGAGCTGCCTCATATATGGCCTTGGCCTAGGGGTCAGCGAGTCAGGAACGAACGCGCTTTCAGAAACGCGTCTTTACACGCTGCGTGGCTTTAATGGGACCCGTCGCTTGCATCTGTTGATTTGTCGGTTTGTGCCCTTCCCCTGGAGTGCAAAGTCGTCTTGGGCAGTGGGTTCATTCGTTTGAGCGACTTTTCCAGGCTTAAAAATTGACAGCCTCGGTATACGCATTGTTGGACAGGAAGATACTTTTGCATACCCCCTCCCTCCCCCCAGTCCTCAGCGTTCGTCTGCGACTCCATGAAGCTGTGCCCTTCACGGCAACCGAGACGCCGTAATCACTTCTGTCCGACGGGCCAAGTCAGATGCGGGTGTTGGGGGTAAATCTATTGTACTTCTCCGCCTCCTAAAACCAGTAGAAAGGAGGTGATGGCATTCAACCTCGTAAACAGTGGTCTACTTCAAATCATTTTACGAATAAACCAAAGAATCCTACAGACAATAAGTGATAAACGCACGATAAATAGGCACTGGATCTACAGGGTCCTGTCAGCCACAATCGTAAGCACCCACATGTCCCCAAAGACAAACCATTACGATATGAAGGACAAGTTTGGCGAAAATCTTCACTCCTTCTCAACTGCCCCAAAGGCGTATTAAGTGCCCCCGTCGACACAGACCATGTTACCTGGGCGGAGCTGCTGTTCCCAGGGGTAGACAGGCACAACGGCCGTGGACTCTCCCTCTTGCTAACATACACAGAACACACCGTCTTCCTTCTCTCGAACTGGGAGAAGACAGCAACTGTATACCCTTGCTCACATCACCGGTAACTGCCAGCATGCGTATTCGTCAGGACCGAATATTAACGCGGCGTGCTGATCACAAGGGCGGTGTACAATGTTGAATGCTAGACAAACCACCACCTTGTTGCCTTTGGGAGGAGAAGTCAGTTCTAGCCACAGAGAGGACTCTCAGAAAAGACGAAACGAAGAATACCGAAAAGTTCACGGCCAAAGCAAGCCTGACGCAGACTGAATCTGATCAGCAGAATTAGCGCTGGCCTGAGGCGTATGCTAATCCTAAAGGATGAAATGCTGGGAAAACATGGAGTCTGTGCGACGCCATCTACTACTACTACTACTACTACTACTACTACTACTACTACTACTACTACTACTACTACTACTACTACTACTACTACTACTACTACTACCACTACTAACTACTACCACTACTACCACTACTACTAATAATGCCGAAAACACTAGAACTGGTTCGATGACGAAAAAATCCAGAGTTGGCTTTCTGAGAACAGTCAGCCCAATAAGTCCTGCATAAAAACGACACCACTGTAAACATGGCAGCACTCTCTCGTTGCTGACGTTAAATGAGACAGAGGCTGGGGAATTCGGAGTGACTATTTGACTCGCAATGCAGAAGAAAACCAAGAAAATACAAACGACGATGAGATCAAAGGCTCATTCGTGGTCACTGAAGCAGTCAATTGTCCTCAACCCAAGGTGGCTGAACCACTGATCGGTCCACGTAGAAGTGTCTTGTTATGAGAGAAATCCAAGAAGCTGAAGCTCTAAGCAAAGCGCTTCAGCGGCGTCCTCAACTGCCAACCTGACATCTGTGAGAAGCCATGAACGGGCCACCATGCTTAAGGGTGTTTGTCGTGACGGACGGATTGAGATCAGTATTGTTTACGAACCGATGGTAGGCTCTCCAGCATCTGTCACGCGTAGGCTTAAACAGAAGTATCCAAGGACACGGCCCGCAATCTCTTATGCGTCGAGGCCTGTTAGTTGGGCACTAAAATTCAAACAGCTATGTACAGCAACCAAAGCACCTACCTTCTCATTAATCATACGGTCGTAGAAAACGGTTGTTGCATATCAACCGACACCAGGCGTAAAGCGTACCAAACCCTCAAACGTTTTTAAAGATAACAGCTTCGCCGTTATACTAGTTTTCTTATCCTGAAGGCCCTGTTATAGGAAGCACCAAGGTTGAGGACAAAAGCAAAGTTCTTATCTCTAAAGCCAGAAAAACCTTCTGCAGATCGTAATGTCTAGTATAGAAGTGCCACAGTATCGTCTCCAGCGTGGAATTCAGGACGCATAGAGGCACCACCCTAACGTTATCCAACGGCGCAGGGACCTGGCATTCAGTTCCTGCAGTCCAGTTGGGATCTGAGCCGTCCCCATCTATTGTTTGTCTGCAAACCAGGTGAGTTTTACGCCGAGTAGGAGGAGCGTGGCATGCACAAGCGGAGTTTTAGCCTTGTGAGCCAATGCGTCCACTTTAGCCCTTGGCTTTCTTGGTTCCGTCATGATGCCGGGCTCGTTCGGGCGGGGGCAGAGAGAGTGCGATAGATGCAGCGCAAGTATACCCTCACCACAAACTAGCCCAGGCACAAGCCCCCGTTCCTTCGTCCACCCTGTTGTGGCTCTCACAGTGGACATCGTCGGTAATGACGGTCGAACTGTGACCAACACTGAGAAATATCACTTCAGGGTTTGTGCGAGTGTCATAGACGTTTATACATGTACGGGCATTTGCCAGAAAGGTCCATTTGCTGACGGGATATGTGGAAAGGATGTGAACCCCAGTGCTGCGTGATTGTCGTCCACCTCCCACTACCGCACAAGAACGGGCCGTACTGCAGGCACGATGAGCTACAACCGGTTGCGTTGAATCAGGTGAAGCACGAAAATTCTGACACACAGGCCAATTGCACATCTGGGGCAGAGGATTACATACCGCGCCATCCGCGGCACATAAATTCATTTCCAGTAAGCCTGGTCTCAAATGCGAAATCACAGAGGGAAGATAACAGATGAAATGAGGTCTCTACCGACGAATTAATCCCGAAGGCAAGTCAGGACAGTACTTAGTGCAGCAGAATAATACGGCATGAAGGGCTAGCGG